ACAGGTGTTTTTAAAACTACAGAAATCTCTTTCTTCTTCCTCTTTTTTTATTGATAAAGATTTACTTTGTGAGGTATTGTCAAAGTATAATTTAGCACCTGGCTGGTATGGCTCAACGATTGAGCATCAACCCAGGAACCAAGAGATCACTGGTTCGATTCCTGGTCAGGGCACATGCCCAGGCTGCAAGCTTGATCCTTGGTGGGGGGCATGCAGGAGGCAGTCGACTGATGATGTTTCTCTATGATTGCTGTTTCTATCTATCTATCCCTCTCCTTTCCTCTCTAAAAATCAATGAAAAATATTTTTAAAAATATTTAAATATCTCAACCAGACAGAGTATCACAAGTTTATGTCAAAATTCTAAAATATCTACCACATCAAACATGTTTCTTGGTTCATCACCTGTGTGACCTGAGTTGAACCAGTTAAGCTTTCTGTCTCAATTTCTTCATCTGTAGAAACAAGAATAATAGTATCTACCTCATTTAAATTTTATGAAGATTAAATACAAGCATTGCCTCTCTCACAATAGATAGAAAATATTTTTAAAACTTTATGTTCATAAAAATTTTGCTAAATAAGAATGAAGAACAAGTACGGAAAGAAGTTAAAATAGGAAAAATAATAAAAATCCTTGGCAAAATCCATATTTCACTAGCATCTACTAGACTTATATATGTTAATTCAATTCAAAATAGAATCCAACATTATACTGAGTAGACAGGTCAAGTTTTTAATAGTACTATATCACTTACAAAACTATTTACATAATAAGTTATTCAATTGGAATACAAGGAATGAAAAGAACAAGTCATTCTAACAATTGTCTGAATTCAAGTATTAAAAGTTCTACTAAATTATGAAGTCCTTTAAAAACTATATTTGCTTGATAATGTTAACATGTTGTCAATTACCTTTTGTTTCTCAGAGTGATTGCTGGCTTGTTTGGTTGCCTCTGCCAGTAATTCTTCATATTGTTTATGACCTTTATACTCTCGTACCCGTTTTTCATGTACCCATGCCCTCTCTGGTTGGTTGCTAAAAAATTGGACGTGATATTCCCGGGCACCTGAAAGTAAAAATCCTTATTAACCATTTCAGAACATACGCATGCACATATACTTTGCAAAAAACATGAACCTAAGCTGGTTCCCTAGTATTATTCCCATTAAAAGCTGTAGTTTTGCAACAGGAAATGTTCGCTTGACATGACAACTTAGCATACTTTCAATGGCAGTAGTTAAAACACATGTCAGTTCCTCAAACATCTTTCTGTAAAACCTTCACACACATTTCAAGCACATCCTTTTTTCTTATGTACCTACTAGAGGCCTGGTACACAAAATTCGTGCATGCGTAGGGTGCCTAGGCCTGGCCGGTGGTCAGGGCCAATCTGTGGGGGGGCCCCACTGGCACTTGCTTTGGCTGGTCTGGCACCGCCTGCTTGCCAGCCCCGCTCCCCCCGCCACCCGTTGGTGGTGAGTGCACATCATAGCACATGGTTGAGAAGCCTTAGCATGTCATTAGCATATTATGCTTTGATTAGTTGAACATCTGACTGGTCGATCAGTGGATTTGCATATTAGGCTTTTATTATATTGGAGGATTTGTGCTGTTGGAGGAAACAAAGGAGGCCTACTCTCAGACCCTGGCAGGCATACATGCGGAGGGAGCCAGATGCCGGCATGGAGATTGCCTACCACCTCTGGGGCAGAACGACACCAGCGTTCTAGGTATCTAGTGGTGGCTTGGTTGGAGGGGGCCTCATGTTTACAAACATGCCAGCTATACGGCAAATGCCTTCACATGGATGAAGATCCTGTTTGAGTTCAATTTATCTTGTCTATAACCTAGGTCAGCGATTTTCAACCTATGTGCTACAAAATTTTTTAAAGCATGTAACTCATCTTCCCTTAGATCATCAAATAAAAAATGACAAGAGTCAACACACACACACACACACACAAATGAAAATTGTAGTTTTGGGTTGTCCAAAGATGTAATCCAATATTGACCAATTATACACCTAATAGTTATTATAAAAATCACCCCAAATGATTAAAATTAGTATATCAAGGTTTAAAAGAAAATCATAAATTCTGCTAATTATCAGATTTATGTTGGTTGCAGTTTATTTTTACTTGCCTCAAATCTTTTTACAAACTAATCTAAGTTAGATAAATAAATTCTCCTTCAAAAAATGTATAACATCTTTTCCTGGACTTCTAAAAGCCAACTACTGGTCAAATTGCTTTTCTAACTGTGTAAAAGTGTGGTATACAGACCTGGGGTTAAAATAGGAGAGGCTACTAAAAACTCTTCCAGGGATCCTGTGAGGTCAAACTATCTTCATAAAAATACTGAGAAGTTACCTATCTTTTTACTATGCTGACATTTGCATCTATATTGCAAAAGCAATGGCAGGTAAGAGTGCTGGCATTTTAGCACAAATAGAGGCAATGAGTGACACCAAGCTAGTATCATATTCTTCACAGCCATATACTGGCAGTTTAAAAAAAAAGCCAGATTTACTTCATGTCCTTCATGAAGCAATAAAAATGATTAATTTAATTAAATCTCAATACCTATCTTTTTAATATTATGTGTGACGAAATGGGAAGAAGGCATAAAGCATTTTTTATAGATATGACAGTTATCTAGAGGAAAAGTACTTGTATGATTGTTTGAGTTGCTGCAAGGTGAACTGGCCACTTTTACACAGAATAACCTTTTTACTTGAAAGAATGACTAACAGAAGAAATATGGTTATTTGAACTTGAGCATCTGGCAGATATTTCTTCAAAAATGAAAAAAAGCAAGTTTGTCACTTCAAGGAAAGTGGACATTTGTTGGCCATAATAAAATGTGGTCTTTCAAGTAAAAAGTAAAATTTTGAAAAAATTCTGCCACTAATTAGTTTTCCAACTTCCCAATAATCGAATAATTTTTTGATGAAATAAAAATTTCTGATGTTAACTAATGTGATTTTAAAAAATATATATACTTTATTGATTTTTGACAAAAAGGAAGGGAGAGGGATAGAGAGCCAGAAACATCAATGAGAGAGAAACATGGACCAGCTGCCTCCTACACACCTCCTACTGGGGAAGTGCCAGCAACCAAGGTACATGCCCTTGACCGGAATCGAACCTGGGACCTTTCAGTATGCAGGCCGACACTCTATCCACTCAGCCAAACCAGCTAGAGCCTAATGTGACTTTTTAAAATATCTATAAAGAAGTGTGTCAACATGTGAAAGGCATGTATGACTTAGTTAACCAATATTTTTAAATGGCCAATCTATATATAATGTTACAAAATCATGAAAGGTTAAAGATCCATTCAAAGTGCAAGACAGAACCAATGGGTTTTAATGTAACAAAGTACAAAAAGTTTATCAATATGATTTCAAATTCCACACTGTAATTAACACACCATCTGTTGCGTTTTGGTGTAAAAACAAAGAAATATATCCACAATTATATGAAAAGGCTACTAAACAATAAACTACTCTTCCATTTACATGTACATATCTGTGTGAGGCCAAATTAACTTTAAATACTTCAACCAAAACAAGAAGTCAGAACAGCTGAATAAAGAAGCAGATACAAAAATCTAGTGTCTTCACTTAAGTCAGACCTTAAAGAGACTTATAAAAATGTAAAACAGCCCTGGTCTGGTGGCTCAGTTGACTAGAGCATTGTCCCATACTACCAAAATGTTGCAGGTTCCCAGGCAGAGCACATACTTATGTTGCAGGTTTGATCCCTGTCTGGGGCATGTATGAGAGTCAACTGATGGATATTTCTATCTCATATTTTTCTCCCTCCCTCTCTCCCCACTCCCTCTCCTTTTTCTCTCTCAAATCAATAAACATCCTCATGTGAGGATTTTTTAAAAAGTTAAAATAACATTCTTCTCATTAATTTGTTTGTGAAAAGTTATTTTTCATCAAAACACAGTAACGTATAGTGAGTTCTTCTAAAATAAATTAGTAAACACTTAAAACTTTTCTCAGCTTTAATTTCTAAAGTAAAATAAACAGTAATAGATACAACCCAATATAAACAAAGCTTCCTGGAGTCCTCAAATTTTAAGAATAAAAGGGACCCTAGGACCAAAACATCTGAGAAGAGTTGCTGCAGAGTAGTGCTACTCTGAAAATGTGGTTACCAGAATAAGCCAGTCTGTGACAAAATACGCACAAAAGTTAAAAGTGGGCATCTAGAACCTATGATAATTTGACATTGCTGTGGCACATAATTAGGTCTGTATTTTTTGGAGAAGGAGGCCTATTATTTCTCTAATAGTTAATTTTAATGTATTTGATAGAAATATTGGTCGATGATAGACTAGAAATGAGAAACAACAACAACAACAAAAACTAGTCCTTTACCAAACATAGTTTGAAAAACACTATTCTAGAGAAAGTCTCAGGTCAACTGAGAAACATAGAAACTGATCTTTTTGGGGAATCCAAGATAATTCAGGTAGAGAGAGAGAGAGACAACAAGCAGATCCTGACTAGAAAAATGTAGGTATTATGCCTAAATTGAACTAAGCTATCTGAAATCTACTAAACCTTAGATATGAAGAATTTTAATTTTACTAGACATTGAACAGATTATATAAGGAATTTTGAAACCAAATTAAAATTTTATATGAAAAATAGCCTCTAAGAGAAAACATACACACAATTTGGATTTCCATATCTTTTAATCTGAGAAAGAAGAGTGACACACAGATTCTATTATAATTAATCAAAGAAGGTTTATCGAAAGTCCAAAGGTATTGAGGGACAAAAACAGAAATATAACCTAAACCAGGGATGGGCAACCCCTGGCACACGTGCCAAACATGGCACACCAGTAACTTTTGCTGGCACGCGAAACCCTCTCTTATAATCTTCCATTTACAATTTTTTCCTTAATATCGACTTTTTTATTTTTCAGGTAAATTCAGTGTAGGTGCATCTTAGATAAATAAATAATTTTACATAACAAGTTATCTTAAAGACCATAGACATGGATTGACAAGAGAGGGGAAGAGCAATTTCTATGCCTCGGCCTTAAC